CTCTCTCTCTCTCTCTCTCTCTCTCTCTCTCTCTCTCTCTCTCTCTCTCTCTCTCTCTCTCTCATACACACACACACATGTACTGTTTATCTCCCCCCCAGTCACCCCCCCCCCCCCCCCATTACTGTTACACACACTTTTTCTCCCCTGCATTACATGCCAGTTAATTAAGCAATTCCACAAGTGGCAATTGAATGACAGGTTGGCATATATGGTGGATTTGTTCTTAACTCAAAATCGCCTCCATGTAAACAAGAGTGCTGGCTGGCAGACAGTGGTATACAGTGATATACTGTGAACTAAATAATACACTGATTTGTAAGCAGCCAATTACTGACAGCCACCGCGCCAGGCCACTAACAGTATTAATAACACACTGTAACAACCCTCTAAACTTATCAGGATGGCTAAAAGCTTGTTAAAATATAAACCAGACAAATTCAGCAGGAAAACAGAAAATTATTTGATGACATTTCAGATAGGTCAAGTCTGGCACTGTCAGGTTATTCAAACTTTTAATGCTGTTCAATATCACCATTTACAGACTAAGTGAGAAAACCATATCTGTCACATTGGTATAACAAATGGGAATTAACTATCCCTTTTAAGTTTTTTCACCACTCCCTACTTTTCTTTTATCAATGGTGTTTTAAACTCTGGGGTAATAACTGTCAATGTGGGACACAGCACAAAATACCACAACAATGGCAGCTAACAATAGCTGTCAGTGAACAAAGAAGCCAGTCACAATATCTTTTTATTCTCAGCTTTATTTCAGGTTGGTGTGAGAGGGTGTTTTTCACACACCACTAACTGCCCCACATCCCTCCTCAGACTACAGCCACTTCAAATGTCACACCTGACAATCTTGTCTACTTCAGGTGACATAACGAGCCCCCATGTCCTAGGGTGCTGTCACTGTGCAGGGACCAGCAGAAAGGAGGGAAATAACATGAAACATTAACTTTAAACTGACAAATGGGATATAGGCTGAGAGGGAGAAAAACTCACTACTCACATATCTACTTGTACATCTGCTGTTCTCCAGATAGTCTGAATCTGACATAATCTTAACAGTTGAGTCAAATAATTGAGCAAGTTTTTAAAGCCATTTTCTTATATTTCTTTCTGATTTACCATCACTTGCCACCTGCATAAGTTTTGTATTGTAATTTTTAACGAATGGAAATTAAAGGTTTGAAATACACCAGATTTAACCAAGTACAAAATTTGATGTTTTGACACAAATTAGTTCCCCCTAATGTCTCTAAGAAATTAATCTGCACTATACAGATTCCTTCATTTAATCTGCTGTATATTTACTCCTTTATTACCTATAGAAGACTAAACTAGTTCTAAGCCGCCCACAATATGGAAATGTCATGCTTATTTGTTTTTTCTTCTTCTCTATCTCTTTCCCTACCTACTAGCAGCTTCTCCTTAAAATTTCATAAGTCAAACATGCTAGCTTTTTTCCAAACAAAATAAGTGATGTCAGATATTCTTTTCAAGAAGTTAAGACAACTTACGACAGTGTAGTTGTTTTTTCTTCAATGTTTTGACTGCTCTTCCCTTCATTCCTTGGGGCACAGCACATCTGGTGTTGTTGGCGATCCCGACACGTTGGTTCTTGGACCAGCGAACTATCCACTGGAGGTGACAGTCACACATTAAGTAGGCCGATTGGAAGTCACTGAAAATGTGTTGTCATTACAGAATGGTTAGTGATTGTTGTAAGTGGAAATATGACATCAATTATATATCATGACATGTAGTGGTTAGTATCATATACTTGTTTTCAAGACTTTTTTCCAATTTTTAATAAATCATACACATTTGCATTGTATGTCTGACATATAAGAAGTGACAAAAACTGAATAAACTAATGTTCTTAGATATTGGTTGTTATTAGACACCTACAGTTTTCTGAGTGCAGTCAAATCCTTGAATGTTCCTTCCTTTATAGTCTTTAGCTGGTTATTGGACAAGGAGCTGGAAAAAAGAGTCATACAGTCTATATTGATAGTCTTCAGCTGGTTATTGGACAAGGAGCTAGAAGAGAGAGTCATTCAGTTCAATTCTATACTTCCCCTTGTAACCATTTCCTGGATATATGGTTTACATTACATTTGATAAATCAACCGTAAAAAAAGAGAACTTATTTTACCAACTCACATTTTTTATCTGTTCCAAAGTCATTCAAAAGCCAGACAAAGTTCTGTAGTATGAATAATTACATTTCACACATAGGACAATTAATAGTGTTGTTTCCAGATCATTAGTCACAATGGGCAGCGGTTATGCAGTCTACCTGCAGATCATAAACACGTCCAAGTCTGTACCTCTCTTGTTATAGACCCCAGCCACTGAGTGGCAAGGAGAGATTTATAGATTTATGCCAACCGTTATCCTGTACTTGTAAGCCACCAATCAGATGCAAATTTATTTCAGAAACTGAAAACACATGAAGCAAAGTAGTGCAATCAGTAGATTCAGTTAAAAACCAGTTTTCTCCACAAAGCCCTGTATTGTGTGACACACTGGTGTTGTCAAGGCTGATCATATCCACCAGGCTGGATGGTGGGTTGAGCTGGATGGAGGTGTGAATTTAAACAACCATGTTCATAAATAACATGTCCTAGTAACACTTCTGCTGGTTTGAGCTGTTCTCTCTGTACTTTATTATTTTTAAGGATGAGATTCCATTAGTTTCTATACTAATGAGTGTTGACAGAGTACAAGTCCATTTGAATAAAACAGTTAATCTGAAGCTGGTTATTTGTTACTAATGTGAGGCAGTACTGGTATGTTTATACAGGTAAAGAATGCTCACTACTTTCAGTCCGCAAAAATAAATAAATAAATAAATAAATAATAATTCAAAAAATAATTAAAGGATTTAAACTGAAAGGTGGTCTTTATTTTTTAGTATAGTTTTAGTATAACTTAAGTAGTCAAGTTAAATAAAACCAATACTAGTATCACAGTACTTACAGTCTTCCCAGCTGATTTAGTCCTTCCAGCATGCTGCTGTTGATACTGCCTAGTCTGTTACCAGAAAGGTCCCTAGGACAGAAAAATAATATTAACACAAACCTGAAAATCTTTCGGCCATTTTTGCCAAAATAAACAAAGCATGTATTTTTTTCAGTTACATTAATAACATATCGTATAGTCATTTTGCCTTACTAAGGCTTCGTTCACATGGAAAGTCTATTTTCTAAAAATCTATTTTCTGTTCGCGGTATATCTTGTGATCACGGTCTGTGCCCTGAATATCCCGCAGCGTAATTACTGGCAGCGCAAGCCAGTTGCTTCCAAAGCTGTAATTAATTCTTGGCTGTGCTCGGAGGAGATTCTGATACCTTGACGCATCCGCAGTAGGAAGTTAGAAAGTTAATGGCAGTCGCGGTTGCTTTGAAAAATGTGTTTGTCAATTTTGTGGAACAACAAGACGAAGAAGATGAAGAAGCTATACACACGACAGATACCAGTGCAACCGTCATGATCCGATGGCAAGCGATGCGGCAACGGAGGATGAGATTTTATAGAATGCGAGCACAGCCGAGAATTAATTACAGCTTTGTATAAGTAACTGGCTCATGCTGCCAGTAATTACGCTGCGGTATATTCAGGGCACAGACCGTGATCATAAGATACCGCGAATAGAAAATAGATTTTTAGAAAATAGACTCTCCATGTGAACGAAGCCTTAGTAATCAAACATGGACCAGTAAAATCTTAATTTTTTAAGAGCCACAAGGATGAAGCCATTCCAGGACAAATAGGTTAAGACCTAAAGCCCCTCAACACTACAGTGTATTTGTATATATCCAACTTTCCTGTACATTACATATATTTGGTGGCATGTGTCCATCACTTTGTTTATAACAACTAGCACTAGAGGAATCTACACCTCACATACATATAAAATACATAGGACAGGGTTGTTCTTTCTGTGTGCAGGACTTCAACTACTCTGATAACTGTATTAGTACAGACTAGTATATGTATATTTCTCTGCTGTAAAGATCCCATTCTTTAGTAGATAACTGTGCTAGAGAGCTTTCCAGTCTCTCTCAGCCGGCCCATTACAGGGAAGATTCAATTAACATCTCAGAAAACTTGACATTTCCTTCAAGTATGTTTTGAGTGCTGCTATATATAGCTCCACTCTTGTCCCAGTATCAGAGTGTGGTAGTCAGGAACCTCTCAGAGCTTATATTGTTTACATCTCACTCAGGACCTGGGCAGCTGAGAACTCCAGGCTTTGAACATACTACTATCTCACATCAAATGTTACCATATCTGTCATCTTTTTTTTTCCAAAAAAAAAGATCAAAAGACTTCATTAACTAATGACATTCTGAGAGTTGCAACAGTGAAACTTTCAAAACTTTTTTGCTGATAAATAAAGAAAACAAATAAAATTCTACAAGCAAAAAAAAGTTCAAGTTCTACATGTATATAAAAAACAGCTGTTTGTTTGGGCCCCCCAGTTGTTATCTGTACTGACCTATTCCCTCTACCTTGGTTAACCCAAGTTGCCATGGTTACACCACGGGTGAGAAATACAACCATGAGTAATTCAAACCTAAACTTTGCTCCAAGTTTAGATAAGGAAGGATGTGAGGGCAAAATATGACCACACTGGAGATGTCAGTGAGTTCTAGCCTGGATGTACTATAGACACTACATGACAATGGACACATTGGCAAAGAGATGTTTATAGGATGCATAGCTAAAACACCATTTTTTCCATGTATATAATACTTACAGTCTCTTCAGCTGTCTTAGACCCTGGAATGCTCCTTGTTCTATCACACTGATCTGGTTGTTTTGAAGGTCTCTGAAATATAAGAAACAAAATTATTATCAAAATTCAAAATTTACTGTCATATGCATACAAAACAAAAAATTCTTTAAAAAAATGCCATTCTTACTATAGAATAAAAAAAAAATGATTGTTGTTGGTAGTTTTTAACTGAACCGTACTGTAAGGGGAATAAATGGTACTGAACCTTGCAGTAAGGCGCAGTTATAGTAAATAACTTGGAGGTTGTGGCCTTTGTGTTAGTGGGAGTTACTCATGGAGTCAGCTGTAGATAAAAAGCCAACCACTTCATTAAGGTAAATCTTTCAACAATTTTATCACTTCCTCACAACCCAAAGGTTAAACCCACAGCAAAACAAAGTGCTTGATGATAATTACATTAATTTCTAGACACAATTTTTTTTGCTCTTTGAAAATCGTGTATAATATGAAACACTAGAGAATGTGAAAACTGCAATCAAGAACACCCATACACATCAGCACTGGATACAAATTAGTCATCAGAGGGGCTACAACAGACACTGTTTCCCTTCCAAAAGGCTGCAGTGTTCTTATTGCTATCATTAATAGTGGATTCTGATATTATTACAGCAACATAAAATCTAATTTCAGTTGTTCAAATAGAATGGTTCTCAGGGAAAAAAGATCAGTGTTCTAGGTTGAGCGGAATAAAAAGTCTGCCAGTGCAGTCACAACCTTTGTATTGACATAATGTGTTACAAATCCCCACATGTGACAGCCAGGGTCCCAATCTTCTACCTTCAGCATGGAATCCTAAACTCCACAAATATTTATATTTCTAGTGTCGACTTTGACAAGGAGGACAAAAGTGTAACTGTGGGCACATACTAACAGGGCATTTTGAAAGGTTTCTGGAGATAATCTCTGTATACTGAGGGAATCATATCACCTCTAAGAGTACACATAGGATTCTGAAAGGTTTCTGGGGATAATCTCTGTATACTGGGGAATTAGATACCACCTCTGAGAGTACACATGGGATTCTGAAAGGTTTCTGGGATAATCTCTGTATACTGGGGGAATCATATCACCTCTGAGGGTACACATAGGATTCTGAAAGGTTTCTGGGGATAATCTCTGTATACTGGGGGAATCATATCACCTCTGAGGGTACACATAGGATTCTGAAAGGTTTCTGGAAATAATCTCTGTATACTGGGGAAATCATATCACCTCTGAGAGTCTTCACAGGGACAGGTGTTAGAACAGACTTACTTTGGGAGGTGACAATACTGAGGTTAAAGGTGACACTGACATAATATCAATCAGACTCAATGATAATGTTTGGAGGTGAGGACTTGTTAACCCTTGCTATTTCTTCATCAAACCAATATTTAAATCACAACAGACAGTCTACAGAGGACCTGTTAACCCTTTCTATTTCTTCGTTAAGCCAATATTTCAGTCACCACAGACTGTCTGTAGAGGGCTTGTTAACCCTTTCTATTCCTTTCTTAAGCCAATGCTTCAGTCACCATAGACTGTTAACCCTTTCTATTTCTTCATATTTAGCAAACATTTCAGTCACCACAATATCTGTAGATCTTTTCCATCACAATTGAGATTCTTCTAAGATTTAAAAAATAGATGCCAATTTTAGTCCAACATCAAGTGTTTACTAAAATGGAAACCATAATATCAGTCTTGTGCATGCTTTTAGATGTGTGGACTATTTGTGGATGTTTCTTACAAAAATACTTTAGTTTCTAGGAAATAATCATCAATATTTTAGACCAGAATAACCCTGAACATCTGCCACCCTATCTTTCCTAAATATTCCTTCAATCAAATCTGACAGCATCTCTTCCTGGAAGTCATTTCCTGTCTGGGAAACTTCTCAATAGAAGTGAATAGGAGACCTTCCTCTCAGAGCCAGTGCTGGTTGGGCTCTAGGAAATTACTGCAAGTGTACTAGAAGAAAGAATATACAGCTTTCATCAGCCACTTTTATCAGCAGAATTGATCCTGTCTACGGCTCAGCTAAACCCATTCATTTGACATGGAAAACACAGCAATGGGGAAGTCCCTTGAGGAAAGAAAACCTTTCACACATCTGAATTTCCTTACTGCTGGGTTGCTCTTGTACACTCACCACAGTCAATAGTTTTGTTAAAGGCTTAAGTGTTCAGGGAGTGGGAAAACTACAAGATTATCTGAATATCTGTGTTACTTCTCTCTCTGCCAGGCTGTCAGAAAAAGAGTTATCTTTACTGAGAATGTGTACTTTGTCTCCTTCAGCTGGGGTCACTCCCACCCACAGTGGCTAACTCTTAAGTAATCTCTCTCTCTCTGAAGTGTTTTAGGTGTTAGGTCACTGAGTCACAAATCCAGCTGGCTACCAACTCCAGGAAATCGTGACGATTTAAAAAAGTATTTTTTCTCTATTGTGGGATTTTGGCATGATGAATATCAAAATACAAACTTTCTTGATTGGTCAGTATAGGAGTTGAAAGTACAGGAAAACTGAGAGTTCAGTTAAATCTGTGACTTTCCTGCATTAAAGAGCTATTTCTTGAAGCTTGGCACTTCAATCAATTAGAAGTTAGGCGACTGTGTAAGCAAATAAACCAGCTAAGAAAATATGCACCCATTTGAAAGGCCAAGGTTTCCTGGATCCTCCTGCCATTCATTGAACATCAACTTGACCTACAACTCCACATATACACATTCTCCAATCCAGACTGACAGGAGAAAACACGGTGGAACGGCCTACATCACCAAACTTCTCACCATTTTATACTATACAATACTTCAATTAACTCATCTGTAACAATAGTTGATGTCAGGAGTATCTATAGTGAGCTGTTGACAATGCATTCCTGTACTGCAGGTAAACTGCTGACTAACACCCCATTTCCATAGATTAGATCGACCTACTTTGGATCGACCTAACTCCCTGGGGGTTCGCGCTGAATAGCTGTCAGCCGGGCGGACACGAAAGTTAATTGCCCCTTACGGCTTGTAGTGGGCGGGGATGGACACTTAAAGGGGATTATCTGACGGTAGTCTGGTGAGACTCCCCGCGGTGATAGATCGATCTAAAGTTGTGGGAATAGACCCTAAGACACAGCTGCTCTCTAACTGTGAGCTCATATAAAACATATATCTTAATTAAATTTTATATGCTTTCCTCATTGCAATATCTCAAGGTATTCGTCTACAGAGGCCAATCTGGGTATTACTTACATTCTCTGGAGTTTGGAGTGGCCCTGGAAAGCATTGCGTGGAATGGTGGTGAGGGCATTCCCACTCAGGTCTCTGGAAGAGATAAGACGACACATTGGAGTATTTAACAGCTCGTCACTTTAATGTGAAATTTCATACTTTAATATAAAAGACCTGTGATGAATAATATTTATTGTGAATGTATATTTAACATATTGTACTAGTAGATCTATACACAGAAGTTTTACTTTCTCCATTATTGCTCCATGGATTTATGAATCACAAATTGCAAACACAATACAACCTTCAGTCACATTTTGCACAATTTTTACAAAAGCCAACTAAGTTTGTTTTGCGAAAAAGATTGAATTATGCAGTCTCATTTGCATCCACAGAATCAAATGCACTTCATTTCCGTGTTAGAGTACACATAATCTACATCTTCTCTCTGTTAGCTGTCTATGCACATAATATACTAATAGAAATCTGCTGAAACTGTCAATTATCAAAAGAAAAAAAATGTGGCTGAAATAGTGCTTCTCTCATGCACATGTTCAATTTGCACTAACTGATGGGCCAATTTATGTTACAGGATTTATCTTCTAGGATGGAAAAAGGCATATTGATCCAGTGGTTAAAGGCCAACACTGCTAATTAGCTGGGTACATAAAGATGAATGGAAGTACCTCTGCAACCAAGTGGAAAATCTCATTGCGCCTGGTTCATGCTTCCACTACATACTCGTGACATTTACCCAAGATTTCACACTAAGATTTCAGAAATCCTAACTCTGTAAGCTAACAATCCTCTCAGCAAATCTTCCCCCACACGCCATCTTGTAGCAAGTCAGAACAATTAATATCCCCCCAAGTATACAGCTCAGCAGAAAGCAATAGCATTATCTCTGATACTTGAAAGATTTTGCTGATATATTCTGTTTACTGAAATTTATAAACCTACTGTATCATGTTTAATAATCATAAATTATTGATCAATTGTTAAGTCATATAGAAGTCACACAAATCTATGCATATTCACTGAACAGCTACAAATAGGTGTCACTGGGGCAGTCACTGGGTTAGGGTGGGTGTCACTGGGGCAGTCACTGGGTTAGGGTGAGTGTCACTTGGGCAGTCACTGGGGCAGTCACTGGGTTAGAGTGAGTGTCACTTGGGCAGTCACTGGGTTAGAGTGAGTGTCACTTGGGCAGTCACTGGGTTAGAGTGAGTGTCACTGGGGCAGTCACTGGGTTAGGGTGGGTGTCACTGGGGCAGTCACTGGGTTAGGGTGGGTGTCACTGGGGCAGTCTCTAGGTTAGGATGGGTGTCACTGGGTTAGGGTGGGTTTCCCTGAGGTATTTACTGGGTTAGGGTGGGTGTCACTAGGGCAGTATCTGAGATAGGGTGCATGTCACATTCATACAACAGGTATCAGAAAAACACGATGAGCTTTAATTTTACCTCATAAAACTGCCTTGCTTAGCATTTCTGTGCACTTCCATATGAATATATTGACCAAAACTAAACTTGTATGAACTTGTACTTAATTCTCAGAAGTTACTACAATACAGTGTTTGCTGGCATGATTCCCCCGCAGCCCAGTCCCTCTAATCTGTTGACGTCTTGATTAGCTTTACTCCTCCTTTCTACACCATGGCATGTGCCGGTTATTAACACTGCCTTTATAGTGTGTGTGTGTGTGTGTGTGCGTGCGTGTGTGTGTCAGATATTCTTTTCAAAAAGCCATGACAACTTACGGCAGTGTTTTAAATTGCTTTTTTCTCCCAAGTTAAATTCACATTGGTGGATAAATCCTGTATAATACACCTCTAATAAAAAAAGGCCAACAGCATGCATTAAAATACTTTCAAAACCACATTCTTCTAACAAAAATCAAACTTGACTTGTTTAACATGTCTACCCAGTGAGTGTACTGTACAGTACAGCCCTGGGGTAAGTTGTAGAGGATCAGTGCTGGGAGTTGAGTAGCCCCATGTGAGGCTGTGGTTCAGAGCTAATTAGCTGTCTTGTTAACAATCTACACCCTACAAGCTAGCTTACATCACCCTACCTCTCACCATGGGTCAGATCTTCCCTATCACTGTTATCAAATACCTGACCAGTTTCTCATTAAACCCATATTTGGACCTAGGTCTACTGGCTGAACAAGGTGCCAGAATTACATTGAATTTGTCATTTCTCATTTACATTCTAATGTTCTGTAGTTAAAATGCTCAGTCCATGCCACAATCTACTCCCACTGATCTACTGTCACAATTCTTATAATAGGAAAATATACTCTGTGTGGAATAAAGACCAGAGAGTTCAAAAGAAGATATCTATGCATTTCATCTCCACATAAACTCTCAGATATCATACAAGTCAATTCATTATCCCTTCATCAGGCTCCTGTTTCCCTGTATAGCTACAACAAATATGGCTTATGAAAAAAACAAAACACCATCCCAAAGAGCATGATCTGAACCTTGAGCAGCACGCACCACATAAAGAGCATTTCCAGTGAAATTAGATTGATGCCAATATTAATGCAATTTTATCCCAGCCTATTGAAGATGGTCCACAAAGATTGATTGTCAGTGTATAAAGAGATTTCTTACAAATCCTCAGCNTAGGAAAATATACTCTGTGTGGAATAAAGACCAGAGAGTTCAAAAGAAGATATCTATGCATTTCATCTCCACATAAACTCTCAGATATCATACAAGTCAATTCATTATCCCTTCATCAGGCTCCTGTTTCCCTGTATAGCTACAACAAATATGGCTTATGAAAAAAACAAAACACCAACCCAGAGAGCGTGATCTGAACCTTGAGCAGCACGCACCACATAAAGAGCATTTCCAGTGAAATTAGATTGATGCCAATATTAATGCAATTTTATCCCAGCCTATTGAAGATGGTCCACAAAGATTGATTGTCAGTGTATAAAGAGATTTCTTACAAATCCTCAGCAGTAAAATCAATGCACGGATCTGGAGAAGAATGACAGCAGTTGCCAGGCTATTGAACTGACATCTAAGAACGGTCTTTTTTTTCTTCTAAAACTGTGTTTGGGGATGAACATGGTCTCTTCCTTGTGGGTGATTTAGCACAATATCTCCTCTAGTCCATTCATTGTAGACTCACTATAAAATCTGAAATCTTACTTATCACCTGATATACACAAATCCTCTCTTGTTGAGATGTTAAAATATTTGGCCATGAAATCATGAATTTTTCTGCACAATTCAAGCTTTCATACATTTCTATGGTGACTGCATAAATCAGCTAATTCCAGAGATGGGAATGAGGAAAAGATTTAGCCCAGCCAAAGACAGCAGCCAGGAAACCCAGCCAATATAATAAATAGTTTAAAATGAGGGCAGAAAAATAAATCAGCAGGCTGATTCTTTAATAACATTGTGTAATCATCAACAGTGGAATTATTTGTGTGAAGAACCTAAACCTTCCAGTCTATTATGTTGATGTCTAGCTGTCAGTGAGCTGGGGTCTAAGTGTATTCTGATCAACTGGACATCAATATTAATTCACTGCCAGTCTCATGTATACTCTCTCACAGTGACTGAAAACCACCAGAACAGTTAGTGTGTGTAACATATACCAAGGCACACTGTGCATAACTGAGATATAATATACAAGAGATTGGAAATCTAGCTTGCTAGGGGCTATACTGCCATATCAACTCCAGAGCCCAAATATCCAGATATGGCTACTAATATTGTGAAGAAAAAATAATTTTGTATTATTTAGGAGAAACCATGAACATAACAGTGGATGCATGAACTGTGTGACAGAATGTTTGCCTCGTTTTCTTGATATAATACTCTTTTAAGATATTCTGCACCAATCATTTTATATAAGTATTCTGTATCAATGTTTTAATAAATGTTATCAATGGGTTCAAACCTCAAACATCAATATTATACCTGCTAGTACTATAACAATAAACAGATATGACAGAAATGTTTTAAACAAATTAATTTTAACCAAAACCTGTGCATACCTAGAGATCAGTAGAACTAGATGTTATATATAACAAAAATGAGATCTATTGGGGAAGGGGGGGAGAACATTTGTAATGATAGCCATGACTCTCTGATGCCAAAGCTTGTAAATAAGTTAACCTAAACCATTGCACACCTAGTCATCAGTTTAGGTATCCATCTCTACCTAAACCACTGTACACCTAGTCATCAGTTTAGATATCCATCTCTACCTAAACCACTGTACACCTAGTCATCAGTTTAGATATCCATCTCTACCTAAACCACTGTACACCTAGTCATCACTTTAGGTATCCATCTCTACCTAAACCACTGTACACCTAGTCATCACTTTATCCAGTCTACAGAACTGTGGTATTAACTACTGACCATCAACACTACTTAAAGCACCACAGTGTCCAGAGGGAGCTCTCTGACCACAAGGTCTAGTCTGGAGATCTGTGGTATTAACTACTGACCATCAACACTACTTACAACACCACAGTGTCCAGAGGGAGCTCTCTGACCACAAGGTCCAGTCTCGAGATCTGCGAGTTGACATCTGAGCAGACGACTTTCTTCCCCATGACTCTGTCTTCACTGTCCTTCTTCAGTGTGCAGCTACAGCTCAGTGGACATCCACTGCCCACGGTCACAACTGACCACAGGACTATGATCCAGCTGGTAATCCTCATAATGAATTAACTGCTACATCCATAGTGTGTGTAGACTGCTCCATGATATCCTGTATTCCATATTGATACTACCTGAAATCTAATCAAAATACAGACATCAGCATTGGCAATGCCCCATCTTCAATATTCCTTTATGTATACACCTCTTTAACAAAGAGCATGTGAAAAATGTTCTCAAATACACTCAAATGTTAAAAATTGGTGGGTTTATCCATTTTGGCAGTACTAATACTAGTAAATTTTAAGATCCATGTTAAGTGTAAAGGAGTGAAAGTCTAGTTCTATCACTGATGTGCATTACATGGAAACAAATTTCTGTCTAGTTTTAAGGCTATATAATAACTGAGAAAAATAAAGTGAGTATGAAAAAAGACTTAATCACGGTGGAGCCGGTGATTGTACGCTTTCAGTGACTAGAATGAACCTGACGGAGAACCCTAATTTCACCTGTTAATTATCGGTGGGCGGCGAATGGCTCAACATAAGGTATCTGACCAGAGATACGTTTTCTGTGCATCCTAAAGAAGCCTAGTATTACTAAATACTACAGTGCTGAGACAGAGTGCGGCGATAGACCACACAGCAGGCGGCCTACACACATACTCTGTAATCCTGCACGCTTTACCGGAACTTTAGCGGTTTAATTGCCAAAAAAATCAGCCTTGACTTACCATTAAACCTTCCTGTTCCACTGATCGTCCTCACATTATGATAACTAAGCAAATATTCGCACAATTTTCAAACAAAACATACCCACATTTCAGTGAGTCTCAGTCCTTTCAGAAGAGGCGGTGACGTTTTCACAGCAAATATTTTGATTGGCCAATGCAAACCAATCAGGTCACCGGTAGGTGGCTTTTGAGCAAGTGCCCCAAGACACTCTCTAAAGCATGCCCATGTAAATGATTAAGTTGAAATCAGGACTTTTTTTAGTAATTAGTACTTTAACAACGTCGGATAATCATTATCTTTAATTATATTGGTGCATTTACTTAACTTTGTAGTCCCCAATTTGACACATCAACTTTTATTCAATCCGAAACCCGCCTATTACAGTATGGTTGTTTGTCTGCTCCATGTCTAGGGGGTTTTGCTTCAAAATATTCAACAAAAATTTATTTTTAATCTCGCCTCTTGAACAATTTCCTGGAAATTTTAGCTCCAAGCATAAAGATCTACATATTATTATATATTTTTACGCAGACTCCGGAAACGTTACCTGGGTTCAAGGTTTCTATACAGTTTAACTGGTGTAAGGACACTTTTTTAATAATAATAATTATTATTATATTATTATTATTTATAGAGCACAGAAATGTTTTTTACATTCAGAGGCTCTCTAACTACTATATATTATACATATGGAAAGATAGTAATAATAATAAAAAAAAAACTTTTAATTTTGCTTTTTGTAAAAATACTATTTTTGAACATATTTCATTTCATATTGTAATATATCTTACATACCCTTTAGGAAAGAAAACAGACCATCTGAACATTGTATGATAGTCATCATTTTTTTTTTTTTTTTTTTTTTGGCACAAGCTGTAATTTTTCTCACCGTTAGCTTACGGACGATGGCCTTCAATATTAGACTGATGAGTAGTATACATTAATTGTTACGTACTTACTCAACACTGACCTAAAATTCCAGATTGTGTTAAAACAATTAATATTATATAATTCAAATACCAAGCGAATGGCATTTTTGCTTAACTGAACATTTTCTTACACTAGAAATCCAATTGAGTGCGCAATGGTCCTCACTTTAATCCAAACACGTACTGTACCGGTACGTACTGAGATGTACTACAGATCAAGAAATCTGAAAAACTATCTCTCTATTACAGGTATATCTCATTTCCTAAAATTTTTATGTATTTTGCAATATATAGTAACATTTTGCTTAGGCGACATCTAGGTTTTACAGCTCCTGTTTAAGGTGGGATATGTACAAGTATTGTTGGCTAGGGGCCTTGTAATATGAAGAATTCTGCGTTTTTGGTCCCTGTTTTGAAACAACTGATGCAGTTCAATCAGTTAATCATATCATGTTAAAGTATTTTACTTATGTTTTATTTCTATTCAGCTAAATCTTAGATGAATTAATTGTATTGTTTTTTCCCAATATTTAATATAGAAATCAGTTTAAAATCACTTTATTTTCTCTGCCTACTGAAAATGATTAGGCAAAATAAGAGGTTTCCTTGACAAAGCTAATTTTCTTTTCTGGGACCTTTGGCTTATGCTCTACCCCTCTCTGCTTACACAAAACCTACCAAAACAAAACTAATGCAAAAGCCTATCTAACCATACCACGTCCAGATGATGTTATCGTTAACCAGGAACATATCGGTTATGATTGTGATAGTTGTTCTGGTTGAGACAAACTATTTTATAGGCATGTGTTCAAGTCAAAAACTATTTAGTTGAACGTGGACATAGCACAAGATACTTTGCATTTTTAATCAACCGAAAATTGCGATTTTGGTTGAGGTGGAAGTGATTTAATTACCTATAAAGTGGATTTAATGTGCCTGTAGTCATAAGTTCATGCTACCTCAAAAGAATATAAAGATGACATGATGCAACCCCCAGTACAAATATATTCCCGTTCGGTCAAAGTTTCACCAGATCCATTGCTCGGCCAAAAAAAATATACGCCATAATATAAATAATTTTTATATTTCCCATTGTCTATTAACTGTTAGTTGTCAATCGTATTTTTAAACCACAAATAAACCACAAATAAAATAAATTCAAATCTGAATTGACTTGTTCTTATTGTGAAAGTATCAGTTTAAATAACGATTGGATTAAAACTTTATTTTTTTCAAAATCGGATCTTTATAATTCGACAAAATATTACTTAATATTAATACAAAATCACAGTCGTTAACTAAATGCACGAATTAAGTGTTCTCTAATAACGATTTTAATTGTTGCAGATATAAAAACTATCCCTGGTGTATAAGGAGTGCGTGACGTCATGAAGTTACGTCTGACCAACAACCAGAGCTCATGAGGGTCTGTTGTCCCACAGAACAGCTATGGCCCTATATATTTGGTCTTAACAGTACTTAAATTCAAAATTAGATCTGCTGCAGTCATGATAAATCCACAGTTGTCTGCTTAAATAAATTAAATTAAGTATTGGTTTGAAACGTAGACATGTCTTCGATCCTGTTTGAAAACAGTCACAGTACATGTACATGTGTACTTCGTCTAGTTGGACTACCAACAATTTGTCTTTTGTCCAATTAGATAAAAAATAGGTTTGAATTTCAAAGTGATTTTAGAACAGTTTTAGTCTTTGGTTCTATGGAGAAACAAGCCCCAGATGCCCTGGAACCTCCTGGAAAATGGTGATCTTAAATATAAAAATTTCTGTCATGTGAAAATAACCAGTTAAAAACATTCAATTTCCTCCACTGCTCCGTTACAGTGCATGAACTGCACATCTTCACAAATCTTGCCCGCCCGCCTTCAGAGCCCGGCAATCTAAGAGTGCATTCCCATAGATTGTTAGATCGATCTATCCCCCGTGGGGAGTCTCACTAGATTGTTGTCAGCCTGACTGGCTTAAATGTCTGTCCCGCCTACTAAAAGGGGTAATTAACTTTTGTGCGCGTTCGGCTCTCGGAAACTGACAGCAATTTAGCGTGAACCCCCAAGGAGTTAGGTCAATCGGGATAGATCGATCTAAATCTATGGGAACCCAGTCTAAGTCTGACGTACGTGATGCACACTCAACCTGTTACTAGGTTAATTAGGGAGCGTAAATTAAAGGAGTGTGAAAAGACCAGTTTTTAAAAGTTAACAAAATATGATAGACCATATCTTTAAATAAAAACTGCTCACACTCAAACACATTTAGTTCCAGCCTTACATTTTGGTACAAACAAAGAAAATTTTAAAATTATTTACTTGTATCAATGCTACAGTGATATTACAAAAGCTATTGGGTTGAAATGTTTACACATAAAAATACACCACCATGTGGTAGTAAAAAGTAAAATATATTGAATCAAAGTGTATCAAAATCAAAAAAGCTTTTTTTTCCTCTCAGAATTGTAGAGATGTTGCCTTGCAACATAACTCTTTTAAAACTATGATTTCATATTATGATATAAGTTAAAATTAAAAAAATAAATGTTTTTTTTTTTCATTTACACAATGCTATCGACACATCAATTGTCATGCATTGTATTTTAACAAAAAGGTTTAACTTATGATTTCTAGTGCAGCAGGGATCAAGACAAACAGACACCATTCTTTCCAACCATACTTGAATAATGCACAAATAGGACACTTAATTATTTCACTAATTGTTAATGCTACATCAAGTCAGTTAAGCTTGAAAATGATGTGATTAACTTCGTCAGTGATTTACTTCTTGACTTGTACTTCTTCACATTAACAGATGTCAACACACAACCTCACCAAGTCAGAAAGATTAAATAGGACAAAATCTATTTGTTAAAACTATAGTACACACAGTTTGCAAACAAACACATCAAAAAAGCTTGCATCTCAAATTATCAAAGTTGTAATTTTCTTAATTGTCCACAGTGAATGACGACAAGTAGGTTTGAGTGCGTACAGCCTTAAGTGTTTTATGTTGACAGAAGTTATTTTAATATATTCATTTGTCTTTTTTCAAGTATAAGCTCTCCTACATGTGCAAAAAAAGGCTTCAAGCTGTGACACACCACTCAAACTTTCATCATCACACACTGACTGGTTTACAGCTAAATTGCTTGCTAATTCTTCTCTGCCTAGTTAGTGTCAGCTACACGGAAGAACTACTTATATTCTGTAGCTCTGTAAGTAAGTCCACGATGGCATCAAGTGAATATCTCTATTGTTTAGATATTCTGAGGTTTACCGCACTCCACCATGGCATCAAGTGGCTCCACCTTAAAAGGTGCATCTATCCAGTGTTTGAATTGACATGGCTTGTAATACTGTCCATCCACAGTCTTCACATTGAATGCTTTGATAGCAATGACATAGTACATCTCACCCTCATAGAGGGCCAGGGTTCCCCATTCTAAACTTGGACATTCAGCGCAAACAATCTTCTTCTGCAATTCCATGCCATCAATGTGAATGACCTTCTTTGGATCTTTGAGCTGGATCTTATTCTGAAAATCTTCATCTAACACAACATGGTGGCTCTCTTTGATTTTTCTCAGACTTGCAGTACTCACTGCAAATGTTTGACATTTGCGACAAACAAGATGGAATTCCTCAGATGATTTTTTAGCTAATTTTTTCTGACGCTTAATAGCTTCTATGTCCATCTTTTTTATTTCCTCTCTCTGAAAAGTCATTATTTGCTGCGACACATCTTCTCTTTCCAGTTTCCTTTTCATCACGGCTACCGCTTTATTCATCATTTTTTCCTTCTGACAGTTGAGAGCCGCCTTTAACTGAAAACGATCCTCTGCCATTACGTAAGAGGTAGCATCCTTTGCTCGGTTTCTTCCTAAGATAAATATTTAATATGATATATGGTAAGATCAAAATTCATAGTAATAGCAAGATTATGCCCATCTCCCTTAATATAAAATAATTGCAACCTTAAATAGTTAAAAAACAAAAAATCACAATATCATATAAAATACTATACTGCTTTATTCAATTCTGAAATGTTAATTCACAATATAACGGTTTACCTCTTGTTTGAACTGTGCTGATTTCATTTCCAATATGGTTGTATAATATGACAAAGTTGCACTCAGGAATATCCAGACCTTCTTCAGCCACTGTTGTTGCAATCAGAAGACGACATTCTCCCGTTCTAAATTTGGCCAGAATGTTTTCTTGCTCATGTTGAGTCATCCCTAATTTTGGACAAACATTTAAATATTAATTAACTATCAATACACACAATTATGACTGTCAGGTTTAGTAAATTAGGCCAGATTTCCATTATTTGGCAAAACACAGCAAATACCCAAAATGTTTTTTCAAAGCTAGAAATGTTAACATTAAGACAACACATCTATGTTCACCTCCTTGTTCTTCTGAGGCCCGTGCCCCCGTAAACTTCTCTGGTCTGACAATTTCCGCGAGGTCCAGTTCTGTCAGCCAGTCATACAGTGCCTGCACTATGGCTAAAGTGGTCACAAAGATGATGCCCCGGGAATGTGGAGCCCTGGTGTTGTCTTCAATACGCTGCTGAAGCTGGAGAAGTCTTGGGTTTTGATACCTGCGATCCTCAGCCAGTCTGCTAATTTCCGGACGCACATCTGCAAATTATAAATAAAGTTTACAAAAATGTTCCTTTCTGCAATACATGTATATACAAAATTAAAACGTGGAAATTTGACTTTAATCAAAATGAAAAGGATATCAGTTTTGTTTCCTTGGAATGTTGCTGCTGATAGGAAACAGCAGCTGTTGTAAAATAATCTGATGTACAAGTTAAACTTTCGGTTCTTAGAGTTCATACCTTCAAACATTTGGAACAGCTCTTTTTCCAATGCAGTTTGTATATGCTGTCTGGTGCTGTAAGGTGATAACTTCTGTACTAAGTACTCCACAGCATCCGAGGTCCTGGCATTTCTGTTCACCCCCAGGGCTACATTATATCCCTGCAACAATATTCAATTAAACATTTAACCTAGTTACAAACAATTAAATTTAAAGTTACTGTGGCTACAGAGCCAACTTGCTTAACTAATCTTTGGCATAAACCTATATAACAACACTGTAGGGGTCCATATTCCTCCCTACCCAGGTTCTTCTAATATATTTCACTTGTCACTAATGCATGGGGGAAATTTTTTACTGGATAAGCATAACATATGGGGCTATTTGGGTACTCTAGCTTTGTTTTTATTAGTGGTATGCATAGGAATCTTTTGTCTAAAAAATTATGGAAATATAATATGTCGAAAATTTATTTTACAGAAAAAGAACAGGCGCAATCAAGATGCAGAAGGCAGGAGTCCCACGGAAAGACCATCTGTAATCGTATAACATTCATCAAGACACTGTTACTCCGTTAATAGTCAGAACGCAGGACTCGATTGAGCCACTGCGTTCCCTATATGATTAAGATTTCAAATTCCAGAATTAAACCGCGAATTTTCCAGCTTGTAAATCGTCTGTGTGGATGCGATCTTATTGCTGCAATCAGAGACTTGATAGTAAGATTAAATCCACATACGGATATACTAGTATGTCACATAAATATCGATGTGGACTGTTGATTGTGTACGATAGGTTCAATTTTCATGATATGTATATTGTTTTTTAGCTAAGGGGAGGTTACGTTTAACTATCACGACCCTGGGAAGGGGCTTCGACACTATGATCCTGGGAAGGGACTTTGACACTTCGACCTGGGAAGGGACTTTGACACTACGACCCTAGGAAGGGACTTTTAGAGTGGGAACTGAAGATGTGAGTTTGTGGTTATATTCCCTCTCCCATGCATCAGTGACAAGTGAAATATTAGAAGAACCTGAGTAGGGAGGAACATGGACCCCTACAACACGTACAAGAGTTCATTTAAAATACCATATGTCCTTTCACTTACACAAATCCCACAACAGAGTTACCACAGAATTAATCACAAGTTTGAGCTATCCCATGAAAACAACAAACCTGGAGATAATCTGTGCAGGTAACAATGGTGCGGGTCAGCTCTGGATTTTGACTCACTGTTGGGGCTATCTTGCCCAGCTGTGTCGCCCACTGGTGGTATTGCTGGCTGTCACGCTCATTGGGAGCTTTGGTTAAGGCCTTATTACCACTGCTCAGCAGGTCATAACAGACTGAATGATGATATAAACAGTTTGATTGGATGGCAAAAAAAAAAAACACATAATGATACATAATGATTGCTTAAACTTCCACTTTAAATTTTTTTGATTAAAAGGTATCATTGATTTTTATCACAAATTTTACATCAGATTTTGTATTTTAACCAAATTTGAAATCACCACCCAATGCAAATATCATATAGTTCAAAAATACAATGCTGAAATGTTAAGAATATTTTTGATACTGGCCTGAAACTCCAATCTAGATGATAATTACCCATACAATTATAACGAGAGGATGTGAAAATTACATTTTATTTCTGTATATGCCACTAATAAGGTCAAAGGTATGTAATGGTCCATGAGGAAAAATAATTTAGAAAGTGAGAGTGACCAAAATTACTATATACAAAAGTCAACTCCTGCAGAACTTTTTATCCTTTTACTGTTATCTTTATACGAACTGGTGACATAGAAAAACAATCAAAATAAGTCAAATTTTCTATATCCACTGATGTATTTTTAAATGTTCTAATTACTTCTGTTCAGTTATTCAGCATAAAAGCTGAGAAATCAACTGATTTTACACCAGTTAATTGTCACTGCTGTACACACACATACACACACACACACACACACAACAACAACAACAACAACAACAACAACAACAACAGGTTCATGTTTAAATAATTCATACATACTTGGAGACTGTTTAATGATGCTCTCTATTCTCTTCATAATGGCAATGATTTTGACTCTGAAGGGGTCTTCCTGACGGTTTGGTAAAGGCTGGAATTCTACAATGAAATGAAAGCATTAATAGAGGAAACTTTACTTCACATTTCAAAGGATTCATCATCTCATCAGTCTAGTTAGGACATCAATGGTTAAAGAGTATCATACATCCTGCAGGGGTACTAATACAGGTACATGCCAGATCACTGCCTCAGTAATATAATTTATTATTCTGAATAAATGAAGTTGGTTCTTATATATTCTGAACTGAAAATTAATCTGGTATTATAGATGCATTTTTCCTTGCTTACTTTTGTAAAGGAAAAAATAATCATATAAAAGAAAAGATGTACATATATATGTATGTAAACAGGGCAACTTATAACCAACAGAAGCATTGGACTTACAGTAGGGCTATCTTGGATGATACCTATTTAACTTAATAGAATAAACTTAATTAATCCAATAGTAGACTCGATCAGTGTTTCCAACATTATGTCCTTGCCCAGTAGGTGAAGAGCTGCAAAGCTAATGTTTCCTTTAAATTTTTACCCGACATGAAATAAAATGTATTGTATTGTATTGTATTGTATTGTATTGTATTGTATCTAAGCTTAAAACAATATGATGAATCAATTGACATTCAGGTTGTTAACCTAACCTTCATTTGGCGTGTTGACGTACTGGTCCAGTTCATCTCTATACCTTTCCACTGTGGCTATACAGCGGCTGTCTAGGTTAGCACATAGATGTAAGATATGGCTCTCTGCTTCATAATCCGTCTTAGCATCTCCAACTCCTAATGAAGCAGTCATACCTACAATCTAATTATGAGAAGAAGGTCAGTCTCAGTGATTTCAACACCAAAATTTGTATTCCTGCGATTTCTTTAGTTAGAACAACATGACTGACTGTTGTATCCAAGACTGTCTTGATTTAGTGCTTCGGTGTTTCAATTAAAGCAGTTAGTTTTTACAGCACACAGTCTCAGGTTCTAATTTTTTTTTTTTTTTTTTGTGGAACCAATTTGCCAGTATAAACTGTTATAATTGCCATTCTCTGAACAGAAATATAGAGAGAGAATACAGCAATGATTAATAATTTTAAGAACCATCCTTCTACTAAATATTGTACACTAACTGTAAAAAGATTATCTACATCATGACTTGCACATAACATCTGTGTTTGTATGTATATAATAGTGTTTATTAAAGGGATAATAACTCTTCGTATGAGGTCTATATTTCACAACAGAAACATCGTGAACAACTCATAGAAATAAAATATATTCTGTTTTACGACAAAAACAGCAGTTATAGCTATTATTCTGATATCTGAACTTGTCTTCAGACCACGTCACCTCCATTGATGGCTATACTCTGTTATAATCTCTTAAGAGAATTTAACAAAAAACCAAACTTTTTAGAAAAAAACCAGGGACTAACTTTGAATGTAAAAATGGATTCATTAACCATTGGTAAGTATGGGAAAATTGTTGTTTACTCCAGGAAAATTCATTTTTTGGCCAAAACGAAGAGTTATTATCCCTTTAAAGTCCAAGCCTTCTTTTAAAATCAAACTGATAACCAATAGTTATTATTATTATCAAATGCATACAATGCCTATTAGATCATTATGAAGCAAAGAAAAAAATTCCTGGAAATTTTGTCTTTACTTCATAGGTAATTTGCCTAGCCAAAACTGCTGAGAAAATAATGATCTACTTTCTTTTTTTTTTTTACATTTCAGATTTGGCATTTTTACTCAGTTTCTATCTCCATTATACGAGAGTGACTCAAAAACTACAAACTCAAACATGGAATTATCATCGAAATTCTGTGAATGGTTTTTGGATACTTGACGTTTACAGAAAAATGTTGAAATTTTCGTGCATATAAAAAATATGGTACGTATATAAAGGTCAACTGTCATTACCTGGGGCAACTTCACCATTTTGTCCCTGTGTTTCTGTCTTATATATCTGGACATGATAGCATTGTAAGGATTGCCTTTCTGGGTGTGATGGCATTCATCAAAGATCAGCAAGGAGAACACGTCCAGAGAAGAGATGGTGTTTTCTAGCAAGTGGTTTTCCAAGATCTGCGGGGTCAACACAATGATGTCAAACTCAGAAATCAGCTGGTGCAGAAATTTATTTGACTCATCATCTCCACACACTTTCAGCACCTGGTAATAAAGGAATTGAGAGGAAACATCAAAATTAATTGTGTACATATATTATGTTGATCAATATCTAAAGTACACTCTATTTAAAACATGTTTCTGACATATCTGAACAATGTGTATCATACAGTGGTAATTAAGACGCTTTTTCCCCGCTTTCATAGTTCTTTCATTTAATTAGGTCTCACTCCAAATCTAGCATAATGTTGCCCAAACACATCTCTCCTGCAAATTTCAAAAGAACCATACAGATGGGTTGGAATTTATCAGCATTATTATCACAAGTTTATTAATAAACTATATATGTCTATAAACAGATTAAAAAAGGTGAAAGAAAAACTCATCCTGAGCTTCAGAGAACATATACCCTCAATTCATATTTTTCAAATAGTTGACAGAATAGTTGGTACTGCTGTTCAACCAGTGGAACTTTACAAGCCATAAACACCACTTTTCTATCAGCTCCTGTAAAATATTGTTATAAAATAGAATTAGGATATAATACAAAGCTGTAAATATATTTTGACATATAAATTCTGGCAACTTACTTACACGAAAGTGCAGGTTACATAAACTACTTTCTAAAGTATTAGATAAAAAATATTGAGATTTCTTGGAGTGCAAGGAAAAAAAAACAAAAAAAAAAAAAAAAAAAAAAAACATTCACCTTGTTTCAAGTGTTCTGCCACAATGTGTGCTGCTACCCTAGTTTTACCACTTCCTGTGGGGGCCACAATGATACAATTCTGCCCTCTCAGGGCAGGCTCTGCTAACTCATGCTGATAATTACGCAGACTAAGTTCATCTATAAATCCATGAAAGACAGGAGAAGTAAATTCAAAAGGTGAACATCCAGAAAATTGCACTCATAAGTAATATTTACCAATTTGTTTTTATGGTTATTGAAAATATACATAACTGTATTTAACTAATAAATATATATAACTGTATTTAACTAATAAATATATATAACTGTAAATGGGGCCGTAGCAATAGTCTGAAGGTTCGATAGTCCTAAGGTTCATTGGTCCAAATATTCACTATAAAACCTTGAGACCAATGAACACTTGATTTAAAAAAACAATGAAAATGTTACCATTTTTCGGACCAATGAACCTTCGGACTATGGAGAAGCCCCCACTGTAAATAAATATAACTGCATACATGTATTTCTACTGTTAAAAAAGATAAAAATATTACCTAGAAAAGCACTACGAGACCACAGTCCTCCATCAGGGCAGCTCAATTTTAATTAATTAATTAATGGATCACCACCAAAATCATATCAACTTTAAGTTACCCACTTCCTGGCTGATGATTGACACTGTACAGGACACACATGGACAAGACACACATGGACAAGACACATACTGCTGATGATTGACACTGTACAGGACACACATGGACAAGACACATACTGCTGATGATTGACACTGTACAGGACACACATGGACAAGACACATGCTGCTGGTTTTTTATTTTTGCATAAACAACCTTCATTATTTCTTACCTGTTATGTTCAAATCACTCAACTTGAGAGACACTTGTTCAACTTCTGCACCTAAAGCAAATTAATTATATTAATCAACCAACCAATCTAACAGTTAATATTTAGTTAACTTTAATTAACTCTTAAAAGATAATAAGAAAACACTTTACCAATTAATTATTCATCACTGTTGTCAATGTTGACAGCTTGCCATAACATTCAGTTTCAGTGTTAATGAAGAATGGCCGCATGTAAATCAGCTGCCATATCAGATGACTTTGTACCAGCTAGATAGTCAAATTTACCTGTGATATTTCTGCCTTCATCAGCACTGCCGTATTTCCTCCATTTAGGAGGTACAGCATCAATAGTGTCCCCAGCAATCTCCTTGGTGACTGTCCTCTTCTGGCTGGTCTGGTACTGCTTCCAATCTAGTTTGAAATATTTCAATAAAATTCTCATTGAATTATGATGTAAAATTATATCTTCTGATAAGAATCACCCACGCACCCTGCAAAAAATATAATTTAAGCCAGCAAAAAAGAACAAACCTTATATTCACAATATTTCTTGAGATCTAGGTTATTAAGATCTTGGTCTAGTTGTCTGCAACTGCTTAGACTAGACTGTGTACTGACCATCATACATGTACATGTACTATTATCATATTTAAAACAATAATAAAACACATATACCTGGATTGAAATCTGGATCTATCAGCTGCACCAGTTCTTTATCTTTTTGATTTCCACTGTCCCAGAGAGAATACAGGAAGTCAGTGTACCAGGTATTCTTGAGAGTGGGCAAGTGTCTGAGTAGCATCAAGCTGCCATAAAACCTGCCTTTGTTCCGTGTCTCTGCTCTGATCCTGTCTACAGTGCTGTCAGACAACACACCTCTCTGGATCAGATGTGGAAGTAACTGGATTGGTTCCAGGTACTCTATGATATGAGGTCTAAATACACGTAAATGCTTCTCATGCAAGTCCTCAAAGCGCACAGAGTTAAGATCATATTTCATCCCATCTACATGTTGGGAAAAATCACTCAGTGCTTTGAAGTCTTCTAATATTCCTAGTGCGGTTTCACTACCTGAAAGTAATAACATCACATAATTTTCAGTTTTAAATGTTTAAAAACTTTAGGTATTTTCTTAATATGATTATTTAAAATATAATAATACAAATATATTCCAAATATGAAAGTAAAATTTAGCAGAATTACCAGTACTTGTCAGTGAAGATGGAGAGGATATTTGCCACATATCATGTATTTGCACAATTACTAATCAATACTTCCATGAAATTCTTTTTCGTCACTTCCATTTGTCAAACAAAATGTTCTTTACCAGTTTCCCTCAGTCCATTAACAAACACTGTGAACCAGCCAGGATCCGTACTTTCTAAAACAAAACTCAGCAAGAGCTCTGCTCCTTTCCGTGGTCCTTTCTCATCTGTAGCAGCTTTTATTTTATCTTCTTCAGCTAAAACAGATTCACAGATTAGTACATCAGTTTCTGTTTTGTTTAATTTTAAGTATGATATAAACCTCTAGTGAGAAAAAAATCAGGCTGTAAAATTTAAAATTTAATGGCTGATTAACTTTTCTCTTCATATTTGAAGATCTTTAAGACCTCAGAGTTACTTTTACATAGAGCCCCTCTTAAATACCACTTCAAATAAAATATACCTTAATTGCATGGTATCATATATACAGAAAGTGTGGGAAGTAGATGAATACTTTCTTCTTAAATGTGTTCATGTGCAATAATTTCTACCAATGTTCTATAAACAAGCATATATATTTGAATGAAAATTTATCAAACACAAGCCAAAATATTAAGCTTACATCCAACCTGGGTATGTAAAGGCCTTCATTAGACTGATGTGAGTAGATGGCCGTAATATTTCAGTGTTTGATAATTTTCACTTATGATCCAACTATACCAAGCTAATAAACATTTTTGCTCATTTAAGAGCATTTCTCTTTCATGCACCTCTTTTCCAGTGAGATTTTCGGATTTCGTATGCAAGGGTCATATATATCTCTTTAAGTCCCCTGCATCATTACTCCTCAACATTTTCACTTTCCTAAATCCATATAAAATACTCCCAGTAAAATTTATATATGTGCACACATCAGTACACTCCCACACCAGGGCCGTCGCCTCCGGGGGGAGGGGGGGGAGGGGGGGGGCACCTGCCCCCCCCCCCCCCGGGGTTTGGGGGGCAAAAAAAAAATTTTTGCAATTTTTGAATTTTGTTTGAGCAAAAAAAAAAAGTTAAAATTCACCAGAATGCAGAATTAAACATAAAGTTTTTAAAAAATTTTCTTA